TCTCTCTCTCTCTCTCTCTCTCTCTCTCTCTCTCTCTCTCTTCCTCTCTTCCTCTCTCTCTCTTCCTCTCTCTGTTTTCTGAGTCTCGTTCTCTCTCTCTCTCTCGTGATAGTATTGCATGTTTTGTAAACATGATTTTAGCTTTCTGTTCCAGATTCGCAGATTTTCAATGTCACTTCATTGTGCTCTCCCTTAGGAAAGATGACAGGTGGTAGATTGGGGTCATTTTTGGGATTACATACCGCTCACAACACACAAAAAGCGGAGTGAAAAAAGAAAAAGGTCAAGGTCATGAAGAGAGCGACGCAGTTACCGTGCACCTAGCTCAAGCCCCCCCGAAACAAAACACTCAGTTACCGTGTTCGTAGATAGTGAGAGGCGCCCGGTTGCCGGTTACCATGTACGTAGATATTGAAAAGGAAAAAAGTCGACGTCATGAAGGGAGCGAAGCAGTTACCGTGCGTGCACCTAGATCTATTGAGAGGGGGTTGGATCTAACTTAAATGTCATGTGTTCGTAACATATTACGAATAGAAGGCTAAAAATAGAGCATTATTTTTCAGACTTGACACCGCTTAACTCGGTGGCAATTGGTGCTACCTTAAAGTTTTACAGTACTGAACAACAATTTTCTTTCGACATAGGCTACTTTTATTTATTTTCTTTTTAAATTCCATCTTATTTTCACAATTTACCCTTTTGTAATTTCTTGCCACAGACTGGGTGGATGCTGACTTGAGTTGGGGACAGCTTGTGAGTGAGTGGATGGGTTAAATTTTTGCCCACCAAATCTATTTTAAAGATGAAAGATATTGTAGAAAGCGACACCCCACAAGCTGTGAGCTTGCTGAAAGAGATAAAGAAAGCTAGTGGAGAGTGTCTTCAAAACTTGAGAGTACTTACGACAAGGATCAAAGACAGTACATCCACATCGTCGGCAAACCAGGTATAACTCTAAGGGCTTAAAAATAGAATTTATATGCTCATATTTTTTCAACTGTGAAAGGTTTACACTTGCTCTATATATTTGCTTTTATTTGGATAGCTACTGACCTACCTTTCTTTAGTCAACATTTCATTTTACAACAGTAAACTTAAATCATCATCATCATCATTGCCTTTCTCACCCTGCAACAGGGTATAGGCCACGGACAAACACCTTCCACCTTTCTCTATCCTGGGCTAACCTCTTGATGCTATTCCATGGTCTTCCCACTTTTCTGTATATCGATTTCTGTGATTCTTCTCCAGGATCCACGCGGTATTCCCCTTGATCTCTTTAGTAAACTTAAATAGCAACATCTAATTTTTGCTATACTGAGAATGTTATATTTTGAGCATTTAATTCTCATGTACGGGAGTGTCTGTCTTAATCTTATTATTCTTTGCTTTACGTTATGCATCATCAACAAATCTGAATGTTTCTGATAAATTGGAGTGTTGTTTTTTTGTGTTTGTTTTTTTTCAACAGCATGATTATGATGTTAATATGAATTATTGTGGTCGACTTTTGGATAATTTTCTTAACTGAAAGTAGTTAAGGTCTTCATGATAAAGTTCTTTCAATAGAGGTGAATATTAGAAAAATATATTTTGTTTTTTGTTCAGAAAAGTACAGTTCAAAAGTTTAATTTGTTTTGTTTAGCTAGGTGCATTAAGTCTTTAACACAGAGATCTTTACCTGTGATCAGTGAACTTCTTCAAATTGTCTTTTTTTTTCGGTGATCAGGGTATCAGCTTTTTGGATGTGAAAAACCAATTGATGGCAAGCTACATGGCAAATATCGGACTCCTCATGGACAAAAAGACAAGTGGCTGCTCTGTTAAAAATGATCCTGCCATTGATCGACTTGTTGAAATCAGAACAGTAAGTGAAGTAGATTTCTTGCTGGGGCTGCTACGTTTATTGGTCTTTATCATGTACTGCGTTCATGTTTTTGCACACATTGGAGTTACTGAGAAAGATTGATACATTAGTGCAGCTGGCCGAGTATGCAACTTACTACGTGTGGTACTGTAGGACTCCTCCCCATTTTCTAAGACTTTTGTTTGAAAACAGTTTTTAAGTGTTTCTCAAGGGGCTCTCGTGGCCTAGACTAGAGGTTAAGGTGTTCACCTCTTATTCAATATGTCCTGGGTTCGAATGCGGATAGTGACGGAACATTTTCTTCTCTAAAATGTTCTCCTTTCACACCCTTTCCTGCTCTCTAACAATTTTCTGTGGTCTGCTTTCGTCTCCACTTTCTGTCCCCACCCCCTCTTCTGGGCTCCTGACTCTTTTTGGTGGGTGGTTGGCGGGTGCTCTGGTGTGGTTTGCTTCTTCTTTCCTATCAAACGTCTATCGTCCTGATCTCTCCTCCTTCTATTTTGTGTTTGTTCCTCTCTTGTAACACCTCTAATCTTCGGCACTTATATGACCTTATTGTGTTGCAAGTGCCGTAAAACTCTTTACTAAAACTAAAAACTGACTCTTTTTGCAGTCTTTCTACTGCTTCTCCTTGGCTCCTTCTTACTGCTGTCTTTCATCCACACCCCTGATCTTCTGGTAGGAAAGATCTACCCCTAGCCTTCTAGGACAAGAACGAAAAATCTTGGAGGTCTCTTGTGCAGTTGCATACATTAAAGTTCCTTTGGTGGTCCCAGATCACTAAGAGTAGGCTTCGGCTGCCACCCAGGCGAAATTTTATATTTCCTACCTACTGAAAATGTTTGGTGTGTCCCGCTCGCTCGTATGACCTTGTGCAGTTGCAAGCACTGTAAAATACTTACCATATCTTGCTCCGTCTTATTACTATGTACAGTTTTAAAAGTCGCGTCAATGTTTTTTTAGGGGGAGGGGGGTCTAACTTGTGTTTACATATATATCAGTCCGGATGACATTTTATATGTTGCATGGTTGATTAATTTTCAAATATTTTTTTTCAGGTGTTGGAGAAGATGAGGCCAATTGAACACAAATTAAGATACCAGATCAACAAAGTCGTAAATGCTTACAAAGAAGGAAAAATGGGTGTGTATTCTTATATATTATTAATCTTTTCACGATTTATTTTATTTTTTGCTGCTGGACTGACCATGCAGAAATTCATGACAAAGTTTGAGATTTTGAGTGCACAAATGTAAATATAGCCAGGCAGGGATTACTCTGACATGTCCAGGATTGACAAATGTGTTCGGCACACCAATAGTTTTGGAAAACTGATTACGAAAAATTGAAGAGATATCAGTCCAGGAATGGCAAATAGTACAAGCTATCCATGATTTTGAGTTCTCCTTGTTTGTGTTATAATTTGTGCATGACTGAACTACTTTGTTCAAACACTCAGATTTACAAGGCGAACTCACCTGGAATGTCTTTTCAAGTCAATGACAGTACATTGTAATGAGAATTGGTTAATTCATGCTTCATGTACGTTGCCTTGAAATGGCTGTGGCGATATGAGTGATAGCATTAGTGGTGGTTCATGCTTTCTAAGTCATGTGATCGTTTTCTGTAGTGTTCAGTGAGTAAGATAATAAATTCTATTGAGGCCAAATTGGATTCAGATTCATTTCAATAGCCTATAGATACAGTCAAACCTGTGTAAGACGGCCACCCATTGTCAAGGAGAAAAGTGGCCGTATAAGACAGGTGGCCGTCTTAGGCAGGACTGATCAAGATAAAGAAAACAAACCATTCCCATCTGAGGCCCCAATTGAAAGTAGCCCCATTGTTGTTGTCTTTGTTGGTGTTGTTGGTTTGTATTTCGTTAGTAATTTTTATTTTGTCGCTGATTTTGCACAAGGGTGACAATAAAACGAAATGTATCAGACAAGGAAGACCCAGTGCCATGTTAAAACAAACACATGGGTCGCCACCACTCGGAGAACGAGGGACGCTTCTGTAACAAGTTCATGTTGACGTCCTTTGTTACTTTGTTACAGACTGGGTAAACAGTGACCACTCATCTCACTTACGATTTGTTTATGAGTTCTGGGCGGGGCTTATGGGTTATGAAGAATCACACGCTTACCTCGCCAGCAGCTGAAAATTGGTAGCTATTGGCCAACAGTGGGAGGGGCCTACGCAACATGATCGGTTGGAAAGACTACCTAACAAAAACGACAGGTGATTGAATTATGACGGCTCGCCCACGCAGGGGCCAATGCACAATTTATTACAAAATGACAAAATGTAATGGAGTCACTAAGGTGACCGTCTAAGACAGGTATTATTGCTTAGTATGATAGGGGTTGTGTGTTAAATTAAGGTGGCCGCGGCCGCGTTCGACAGGTGCCCGTTTTACACAGTTAAATTATATAGAAAAAACGCAAGGGGGGAAATGGAAAGTGGCCGTCTTATAGAGGTGGCCGTCAGGGCAGGTTCGACTAATATTAATGAGAAAAAAAAAGGACATCAAAATCTCAGTGCCTCTTAACGTCTGGTTTATTGTCTATTTTTGGAGAGCATCAATCTTTGCTAGTGTATGTATTTGGCGGGCAGTCGGTCTTTGTGTCTTTCTTTTTTATTACAACTTTTGTCTCGATTTCTGCTTGGCCTCTTTCTTGGACTTATGCTCACTTAGTATGTGTGTTTTCTCTTAAAACGCCAGAGTGCTTTTATTTCAATTTATGAAATTTTTTGGTGTGTTGAATAAATTGTAGGCCTATCTCTTCTGTGCCAGTTATCAAAGTGCACTGGAATAATTTCTGGAAATAACCATTGTGGACAGTGAATTTTTGTGTTAAAAAACGTTTTTTTTTGTTCTTTCAGATCCATCTGACCCAAGGAAGTTTAAGGCAAACTTTGGATCATTTGCCAATGTGGTATGAAATGTTTTGTTTTGAAAAAAATTTTCTGCTTTATTTGTGGGGGGGTGTTGGATGAAGCAGAATTTCCATTGGTGAATGGAGAAATCCTTTTCAAGAGAACTGCTTATTGCTTGTGGCTGACATGTTGGGTCAAGAGTATCATTGCTAAAGCAAATTTTTTTTCTTCACACTAGATATATAAGCGTTTTCAAAGGTAGTGAACAGTATGGAATAAAGAGAGCACTCAGCTCAAGTGAACAGAAGCAGTTGACAATACTATTTACTGGTCTGTGGTTTTTTCCCTTTAAGAGCTGATTGTGTGATAAGTGACTATGTTGATATTTTTACCTGCCAGCTGTCTGAAATGTATGTTCATCCTTTTGATATCTGTGTTTTTACTAGTGGGTCATTTCAATGGGTTAGCTTGTGAAGACACAATGACTAGAATTTACGATTGTTTCAAGTGACTTTCTATTTCTTGGCTAGGTCAATTCGGTAGATCTAGATACTCTTCATCACATGTACCTCATTATACTCAAACATTTGGGTAGTGGGTAGTTGGTGGGTGCTCTGGTGTGGTTAGCTTCCTTCTTATACCCAGTGCCCATTGGTGCGATTGGTTTGGTAGGCGGGGCTAGCCAGATTGAGGGCGAAAGGCGACTATCGAGGCACAAACAAAACGAAGCAGACAGTGACCCTTAAAAGACAAACGTGTTCGTTTTCAAGGCCTCAAGTTGGATGGTCGGTTTGCGTTAGAGAACAGATCTCCCAATGCGAACTGGGTATTATCAAACATCTATTGTCCTTTTCTTTTCTGTCTTTTTTATGTTTGTTACTTTCTTGTGACACCTCTAATCTTCGGCACTTACGTGACCTAATTGTGTTGGAAGCATCATTCTGGTTTTGAAAGCTTTTTTTTTTTTTTGCCGCAGGTCCTTTCAATTTATAAGAATATTTCTTTGGACATGATGATTTATGATGTATCAGTTCTTTTGTGTTCCTTTGAAAGGGATTGTTAGTTTGGTTCCTAGTTTTAAATTGCTAATATTGATTTGTCACCTACTTGAATGCAATGGTATTTGTGCTTTCAGCCTGGAGGTGACTCTAGTGATGAGGATGGAGACAAAAATGATGACACGTCAGATGGAAAGTCAAAACTCTATGTGGCACCTAAGCTGGCTCCAGTGCACTATTGTAAGTTACGTGCAGGAATTTCACAGCTACAAATTTGAACCACAGAAGTAGTATTTCTGTCAACATGTCTGTTGTGGGGGGGGGGGTACATATTACCGTTTCTATTTAAAATTTTAAAATCTAGCTTTATGGGCCCCATTCAAAGTAATTGTTTGATAAAAAAAAACCTTCTAGGTAGTGTAAACATGGCCTGTAAGCTGACTCATGCCTGTCTGAGCACATGCTTTTGGTGAAATTGGGGTAATTTGAATTTTTGTTTCTTTGCTCGGTCACCATTAAACAGCAAATGCTGTAGAGCTTTTCCTTGTTACAATAGTGTATGTTGGTATATTTGGAGCTGGAGAATCAAGGTATAAAGCGAAGCCTCTCGCCATTGGAATGCAAGGTCGGCCAATTAAAAAAAATTGACACCCATACATTCGAATGGTTCGCAGAAAGACTGATGATTAAATACCATCTTTTCATTGGTGGAGAATTATAGAGCTTTGGGTTGGATTTTTAGTAGTATATTTTTGGCCTTTGGGGTTTAAATAGAAAATCTTTAAAAATAAAATCAGTTTTCGAAGATCATTCTTTTACACATAAGATGTAAAATTTTAAAATGGCACCAGTAGAGAGATCAATTCATTTTCTGTTAGAATTAAGTTTTTAGTACACTACAGTATAGAGCCATACCGCTCACCTCCTGCCAACAGCTCAAGTGTTTTTGTCTAAATAACGACAGATCTGCATGTTTGAGGCAATAATATACTGTTTTGCAATGATCTCTGTTTTTGAAAAAATTAGGCTCTATATCCACATTATAGTCATCCTTTGTTTTTATGTGTAGATGTTTGATGCACTTGATATTGCTTTATTATCTGTCAAACATGTGGTTGCAGACAATCTGCGAATTTTTCTATATTTGATTATGAAATTGACTGTCAGTTTTGTTGACTGAATGTAAAAGAATGGCACCAACATTTTCAGGAGGCGTGGGCCTTTCATATGGAACAGATTCATGTGTTTATCTACAACCCCAGTTCCCTCCAACTTTATGCAAGAGATTAAAGCATCCATAGATCTGCTCTTTAAAGAATATGAGAACCATTCCTTCACTGAGACCATTGCTAATTGTCTATTTTTCCTTCTGTTTGCCTATAACTCACAATTTGTGTATGATGCAATTCTCTGTAGCTTGAAAATGGCTTATATC